CATCGCCCTGATGACGGAGGCAGTATGACCTCTGAAACGTTGGTTAACATCCACCAGACTACACAGCGCAACAACCCAGAAGACAGAAATCTTCCTGCATGATATGCCTAAAGATGTCAATCCCTGTTATCAAAATTTGCTGAATGTCAGTATGGTTACCTGACATGAGGACAACTGGGGATACTGGGAACGACCCATTCTCCAAGTGCCTGAGCACTGCGGGTCCCAACTTTTCGTTGGCTTGATCTATAGACATTCTGTAGGAGTCCTTGGACGAGGGATCGGCCCGTCGCGAGGCCTCTACCTGTACACCGGACAGCACAACACAGAAAAACGCGGACAAACATCCATGGCTTGAGTGGGATTCGAACCGACGGTCCCAGCGACCAAGCGGCACAAGGCCCACGCCTCAGACCGCGCGGCCACTGCGGACCCCTCATGAGGACAACGCAGTCTGAAAATGCTAATGATATTAGCTGACTGGATCAAGAACTTGCGTAGACGGAGGGGACCTGAAGGCTTAAATAATGAAGTTTAAGACGTCATTAAATTTCTTATGTGTGTGCTGTGAGTGATTTTCGAAGGCCGATTACATAATTAAGACAAGAAACAAACGACAAACTACAAAAAATAGAAAGATAATTAGAAACAATACGTATTTGTACAACAACATTAAGACGGAGATATGGGGAGTATCATAAATGGGTATACAACTTCAAAAATAAAAATATCCTTCCAATAAGAAAGCAATATAAGAAGACGCAGGAGCAGATCTGTTTAACTTCAGAACTTGCAAAACTAGCTAAAAGCGCCCAGTCCTCGTAGAAAGAAACAGGGCACAGACCAACATCTTGAGTTTCCTCTGAGAACAACAAATCTGATATACGTACATTTTTCCCACATTTTACGCCATTTTGTCACCCGTGCCACAGCCTCTAAGGATGGAAGCGTCATCCTTCTTGCATATTATCAGACGCATGTAAACTGAAGATGGCTGTCTTCTGGGCTGTTGCGCCTTGTAGACTGGTAGAGGTTTACGTTTCAGAGGTCCATGCTGCGATGATGTACCCAGAAGACAGCCATCTTCAGACTCACCGCCCTGAAAACCTCAAATCCTACATAAACTGAAGATATCTCAAGTAGAAATTGCAACCTCTTGAACTAACAGTATGTGGGTTCTTTGAAACTTCTTGTAATCAGTGCTTTGAAGCATGGAGTTTGAACAAAGCACGGAAAACTCTGATATGCCGTGAATCGCAGAAGTCCAGGGTAAGGTTACCCTTTTAGCATGAGAAACATCGGCGGTGACTTCAAGGTGGCTGTAATTTTTCCATTTGACCGATATTTGTTCCCCAAAGGATCTCATAGCCTTTAATCTCTCTCACTTCTGGATATTCACGTTACTTTTACTTATTGACTATCTAATCAGTTCACAAATCTGAATCCTTTAGAAGCTAAGAGTCACTTAGTGAAGACGTGAGAGGTTCTCATGCGACCCGAAGATTCATTACCGTGCTCATAAAACCCGGCTCTGTACCCTACTCTGAACCAGTTGAATACCAATTCTCATCTTTATACCCTGATCCTTTAACATCCATTCTAATGTCTTGTCTGTCGTGCTATTTGCAGGCGGACACAACTGATAACCTGTATCCTTTGTCGATTATGGTTTCAACCAGCTGAACGTTTCAAATATGTTTTTTTATCGTATATGTTCAGCTTGACCGTCGTAACCCCTTCCGGGTTTTCTTGCGAAAGTACCACGGTGGCTTCGCCTTGCCTTCCGTGGTCAGTCTTTACCCACCAGACTGGAAGAAGGGACGCGGACAAACATCCATGCCTTGAACGTGACTCGAACCCACGGTCACAGCAGTCAGGCGCACGAGGTCATTGCCTCAGACCTCGTGGTCACTGCGTCGGCCAAATATGTTTCGTACTCGTTTTTTGTTGTTATTGCTATTACCCGTCATCCTTTCTCGCTTCATTACTGACATGTAACGTCAACAAAGCGGAAACCTTACCACTGCCTTAATGGTTGCGTAGAGGAGAAACGGGGCGGAACGCCTCCGTTGGTCAGGTGGAGTTAGTTCCTTGTGGTAAAGATTGCCAAAATGAGCGTGGAATTGCGCACTGATGGATTACAAAAATAAATGGAAAGTATCCACGACACAGCAGAGGCTGGAGACACGTTAAAATCACACCAGGAAGTGAGAATAATATATATATACACATGATTTTACATAATTCAATAGCTAATAATACCTTAGAATGTAATTCAGATAATTAACAATAATAAAATTTAAAACAATATAATAACAAGAAAATTGCGTTGAGTTAAAATGCAATAAAATGATACGGAGAAGTTTTCTTTTACAAATTCCTAAGGGAATCGGGCAATTGAAATTTTAACACAAGGTTTTCTCAACGGTGAGTCTGAAGATTGCTGTCTTCTGGGTTGTCGCGCCGTGTAGTCTGGTAGATGTTTACCGACGTTTCAGACGGACCACACGGCGCAACAACCCGGAAGACAGCAATCTTCAGAATTAACAATTACTAAATAATCATATATTACAAAATATACTTTTATAACTTTGGTGAGACTTCACGAATAACTTATGTACTGCATACGTATAAAATAAATTATTAGAATATGATACATCATCAGAAATGAAACAGTCAGTACAATTGTTCAAAATCGAAACATAAATAGTTCCATTTGAAAATGTTTATATGAATTAAAAGTTAAAGCACTATTTTTGTTTAGCAGTTTCGGAGGAAGACATTATTAAACGTCGAAACAAGTCGTCAGGTTTTCCTAAAACAAATTAATGTTTGAGAAAAATGTTTGCTGAAAATAATATCGTGATAAAATATAATCTGTGTGCTATAACAAGAGATTCATTATGAAACTGCTTATTTCATGATTATTTCTACATTCGTGTTTTCTCCTCTCGGAGGTTCAAACATTCTTCTGTTAAGATGGACCAGATGGCACGGAACCTTTATTGTGCTGCTTGCAGAATATTATGTAATTTATACATTTTAACACATTTTTTTAGTAGTCAAAATTCGTTCTAGCACTGTGTTTTAGTGGT